GCCAGGGGAGGTTTATGTTGGATATTAAAAATTTTTTTCACAGAAAGTGTTGTCAGTCATTGGAACAGGCTGGGCAGGGGTTTAAAAGTCATGGAGATATGGTGCTTAGAGTAGAAGTGGGTTACTGGTTGGACTTGACAGTCTTAAAGGTCTTCTGCAACCTAATCATTTTTATGATTCTGCATTTTCTTAGAGGAGTGCAGCTGGCTGTAAATCCCCTTTTCAGACAGCTCAGCTTTCTGTGGGGGCCTGAAAGAGCCACCATGCTCTAAGACATGAATTTCATGAGATGCCAGGACATCCCAATTGCCATGGACAAGGATAAAGCCAGTCTGGCTGCAGGCTGGCTGACTGGTGTTTAGAAGTCTGTGGTAGACCTTTTATATTGTCTGATATTGAAAAAAAATGTTGCTCGCAGGAGGGAGACAGGGTTCTTTCGTGGGTGAAATTAATTTAGACCAGCAGCTTTCAGCAAGTGGGACACAGATCTTGAGAATATATGGATCGACCCTCTTAGGTACAGAGGCTGCTAAGAAAAGCCGTCTGAGCTGTGTTGATTGCAGGGCTCATCCTACAGCTCTTTTCTTTCCGCTGCTATAGCCCACAACTTGAAGAAGCCTGAGTACTCTTGATTCAGACTGTAAACTTCTTGAGGGTACAAGGTATTGTCAAAACACCTTCAAAAGTACAGGCTCTACTTTAACATAAAGGTGGTTAAATGATACAGCCATGGCTTCACAAATTGTATATGATTTCCCCCTGCAGTTTTAATGGAGAGGAGGAAAGCAGGCAGGACTACCATTAGAGGGGACCTTGACAAGTCAGAGAAATGGGCTGACAGAAGAAAAAGAATTTCTCACAATGGGGTGACTTGGTGTGGGTGGGATCACAGGCCCAGAGGGGATGGGGAATCTGTGTCCTGCAGGATACTCAAAATTTGACTGGATGGGGCTGAGCAGCCTACTCTACTTGGAGCAGGAGGATGGAATACAGACCTCCAGATGTTCTGTTAAGCTTTATTCTAGGATTCTGAGGTGGCAAAGCCTTTCTATATCAAGAGGAAATACCATGTGATGACCTATGGGAATATTTGTTAGGGGAAAACACAGCTCAGAGGACTGATGGGCAGATGGTGGTTTAAGCCATGATGTCTGTGAGTTAGGGAGAAGGACAAGCCCAGGCTGTCATGTGATGACCTATGGGAATATTTGTTAGGGGAAAACACAGCTCAGAGGACTGATGGGCAGATGGTGGTTTAAGCCATGATGTCTGTGAGTTAGGGAGAAGGACAAGCCCAGGCTGTCTTAGCACAAGCCCAGCCAGGATTGTTTTCTTCAAAGTGAAGGTTTTGGCTTTAAAAACAGAAAAAAACAAAATAAACCACCATTAAAAAGGCTACCTACCTTAATATGTTCCTTAGCAGTATCTGAGAAGCCACCAGATTCAGCTTTCCCCTATACCTGTTATTCTTTCGAGGGCATAGTATTATGGTAAATAAACAGCATGGTTCTCATCATTCACAGACGCTCCTAATCCTCTTTTTTCTATCAGGACATGCTTAAAGCATTTGATAACTATAAGGCAGTGGTGCTTTCCATCAACCTGAGCAGCAAAGAATTCCAGAAGGCAGACAGCACAGAGTTCAAAGAGCTTCAGAACAGGCTTCGGAAGGTGAACTTGCACTGGGAGAAAGTAACTCATGTACTGGACAGCTGGAGGAAAGGTTTACAGCAAGCCCTACTGGACTGCCAGGTGCGTGCCACATGCCAGCCTGTAAGGAAGAACACCTCTCAGGCTGCTGCTGAGGGGTAGATAAGGGGAAAGGGCAGAGGGGTTATTCCCACAGTTGCTCAGAGTCCAACATGGTTCATTTTCTTACAGACTTGCCTCTGTTTGGTTTAAAGAATTAGGTAAAAATACCTTTCAGCTGTATAATGCCTTTTTATTACATAGGTGGAATGGTTTAACTAGGTTCCTGTAGCCTCATTCATTGTGAATTTGTTGTTAGCTCTGTCTAATCTGGGCTGGTCATTTTGTTTGTAGGCAAAGCCAAGTAAAAGCACTGCAAAAGTGTTGTGTGGTTTTTTTTTTTTTTTCTGTACAATTCTGTTGTTTCTCTAGGACTTCCATGATCAGAGCCAAAAACTAATCCTGTGGGTAGCAAGCACTGATAGCCGAAGGAATGAGGCACAAATCACACATCCAAATGCTGACCCCAGTACAGCACTGGACTGCCAAAAGGAGCTAAAGTGTAGCTGTAACTGCAGCACCTCACCTCTGCCAGTGAGTCAGCAGCTCTCACAAGTTGAAGAGTAGTAGGTTTATTTCTCAGGGTGTCTGGAGCAGGTCCTTGAACCTGCTGTGTTTGGGCATGGGGCTGGTTTCTGAAATGGACTAAGAGATTCCCTCTCTGAGGCATTGTTCCAGTAATTACACATCATAATTAAGTTCCTTATGAGCAGTGTTTCTGCTGGAATAAGACTGTCAGTTTCCAAAGTGTAATGTCTTTTCCATATGGATTAATTACTGCTAGAGCTATTTCTAAATGTTAGTTCAAGCACATAGAACCAGTCTGTTCAAGAGACTTAATTTCATCTGTAGCTGTAATAGTCATTCCTATGTATTATGGACTCTCAGGCAGGTTGAGTTGTTCTTTAAAGCCTTTCAGAGTTCCTCCTTGTATGAGAACATCCTCAAAATTGAGAGTAACACTCTGTTGCACTGGTTTTGTTTGTTTATTTGTTCTAGGCAGCTGGAGGAAGAGTTGCAGGAACAACAGCTTAAAGTAAACTCACTTCAATAACTCACTGCTTACCTGTGGCTTTAAATCAGATGGTGGTTGCATTGAAGCTGATGAGAAGGTCCATGTAGTTGGAAGGAAACTGAAACAGCTTCTTGAACAAGTTTCACATGACTTAAAGACAATACCAGGAAATCTGGTTAGTCAGAGTTTAAATACTTGTTCACGGATCTTTCTTACTGAAAATCAGTAACATACTAAGAGTAAAGTAAAAGGGATTTATAAGTAAGTCTGACTTAAAGCTTAACTGCTTTCCCCTTCATAAGCTGAAAAAAGAGCAAGTTTGGTTGTAGCAAAAACTTCAGCACTGTGAGGCTAGTACAGTACTGGAACAAGTTGTGCAGTCTCCGTCCTTGAGGGGCTGGAAGAGCACAGGATAAAGCCTTAAGTAAGGCTTTTGGTCTGGTCTCACAGCTGACCTTGTTTTGGGCAGGAGGTTGGGCTAGATGATCTTCCTGAGATCCTTTCCAACCTGAATTATCCTGTGATCCATATGAAATGCCAGGCTTGGAGTGGGTAACAAACACATAGGAGCTGTAGTTCATAGCAATATATTGCTTGCCCTCAAGAGCTGTCAGATCAAGATATTTTCAAGTTAATACCTCTATGCACCTGGTCCATCATCATTCCTTTGGGATGTGCATAGTAAAACTTTGTCCTTATGCTGGAGAACTGGAGGATCTGTTCAGTACTGGCTGCACATCTGAAGAGGCAGGGGGCTGTGCACCTGCAGAGAGGCAATGAAAGATGTGCTTCATCTGTTGGGAGCTCTGGAGCACGCATTTTAAAGAGGAAGGTGTGCTTACCTTTTAGGATACCAGAACATTACTGCTGGTTCCAGAGCGCTGGATTCGGCCGTCTATAACCCAGTTGCAGCAGAAACCAGCCCTCCTGTGAAGAAGGTAAGTATTTTTTCCCAGTGTTTTGCTGTCAGCATATAGCCTATTTTGTCATACTTGGCCTGAAAGCTCCTCAGGTGTAATCATTTCACCTTTTAGATGCACGTACCTTATTACAGAAATTACAACAGCACTTCAAAGTTTACAACTGTCTTTTTTGAGGAGAAATTCCTCATAGTTGTGAAACCTGGATACTAAAAGCTCTTTCTCTCCACAGGTAACCATAAGGAGAACTGCACATGGCCGAGACAGCAGCAGCACAAGGTATTACTTCACGTTTACCTCCTCTCCTGAGCAGTTATGAAAACAGCAGAGGCACACTGAGCCAGCAGGAACCTGGGCAGCTGTTCCTCATAGGTTGACATACAAGCAGAAGTGATTTCTGCCTCCCTGTTGTGTTTCCTCTGCCTCCTAACCCTGGGCTGCACCTTGGTGAATGGTTTCCTTTAGCTCTCCTGTCACTAGACCTCCACACCAATGTGCTACTTTTACTCTTGAAATAGAAGTTTTGGTGCCAAATGGGGTAATATTTTAGTTTTTAATATTCTTTTTAATTTCACCAGCATACCTGGAAAAAGAAACTTGCAGCCTAGAGCCACTTAGTACAAACAGACCATGAAGGGCAAAGGGAGAACTTCACCCCCATTAGGGCCTGTTGAAAGGACACATGCCAGTAATGCTGAGGTGTAGAGGAGTCTGGTCAGCCTGATGGTGGCTTTCCTTCATAGCTCAGCACGTGTTCAGAGTGATTCCTAAGTGATTCCAAGTAAATGTTTCTTCTTCAGTAGTAAGAAGAGTAACCCCAAACCAGCAGCTTGCTTCCCTCTGAGCAGCTTTCAGAAGTTGAAGTGTTTTGTGTGCACTGCATTTTCCTGTAGCTATGCAGCCCTGCATCTTGGAAGGGTAGTGTGAACCCTGGAGAGGGAGCTAAACCAACCTGTTTAATTCAAACTCTAAAGTGCCTTTTTGTCTTTGTCTCTGTTTTTTTTTCTCTCTCCCTCCCTTTCAGAGGTGAAAGCCATCCAGAGCCTCGTTCTCCATCCTTCTTTTACCGTGTATTACTAGCAGCTTTACCTCTTCAGTTGTTCCTTCTACTGCTTTTACTTCTGGTTTCCATGATTCCATCTTCTGAGGCAGACTTCAGCTGCACCAAGGCAAACAACTTTGCCCATTCTTTCCATCTCATGCTACAATACACCAATGGGCCTCCACCAACTTAGAAAGCAGCCTGTGAATCTTCAGTTATACCAAAACACTCTCTCTGCGGTGCTTTTTTCATGCTGCTGGCCTCAGTCAAGCAGTGACATCGCATAGTTTAATACTGAAACTTTTGTACTGTGTTAGTTCCCCAAACTAGTCACTGCAGCACCCTCGTGTCCCACACCCTGCTGTACAGGTTGCTGCTGCAGCCAGATAATGCCTCACGTTTATAGCCTCCTATCCCTGGTGCAGGGATTTCACATCTCAGAATGTATATCTGGATGAAATTCCAGCATTTTTGTACGGAAAACAAACTTTTTCCATAGATTTTTAATCTGTAAGCAACACACTTTATACTGTGATGCAATAGACACTATTTTGTAGGTGGAGCACTCTTAAGCTTACAAGACGTTTGAATATTAGATGCAGAAACTCCATCCAGTAATGGAAACACGGCAGCCTGGCTGGGGTTAGCACAGCAAACACACAGTTGGCCTGGAATGCTTTCTGCACACACTTCATCTTACCTCTGTCTTTTGGAACTGTAGTCACTTGGTGGAAACAAAAGAAGTCTACATCTTTCTGACTCTTTCTTGTTGTATTTTATTCACCTAACGTGTTCAATAAAAGGATGCACGTTTTTGTTTTGCATACATGGCTGGAGCGGTTAGAACTGCAGTGTTGTCTTTTTGTGCCACCTTTGAAATAAAGCATTGTTGCATTGTTTGGAAACTGTTTATAATGCACCTATTTTCTAGGTCAACAGGATGGTGTAGATGATCCCTGTTGTGTACAAGTATTGTAATGACTTTTTTAATGATTTTTTTTCAGTTTTTAACCTGCTAATAATGTACAGTATCTTGGGAGAGAATTGGACATATTTATAAGCTCTGTCTTTAAAACAGAAACTGATGCAGGGGCAGTGGCTGGAGACACACTGTGCACAGGAGCACTGCCCTTGCTTCTGGCCTGGACAGTTCAAGTGCTGTTGCTAACATTTTGCCAGTGTCTGCACGGGGGATCATTGCCTCTAGTGGGTTCCAGCACTGCTGACCCTGTGGCTGCTGTGTAAGTGCCTGCTGCTTTCCCTGCTAATGCAGCAGTGGCAGAAGCAGCATAACCCCCCCTTGCTGACAGAGCAAGAGATTAGGCATGCAGAAGCAGAGCCTGTCTTGGGGGCACAGATCCTTTCCTTTGCAACTGGCTTGTTTCCTGGAGGAAGAATACAAAGATGAAGCAGCTCATGCATATTACTAGTTCAAAATACTGAACTGATTTTCTAAACCGTGCTACTTGACCTCAGTCCCATGCAGTGGTGCCTGGGCTCCAGCCTCCTGAAGCCACGGGGCTCCCCCAGCATTTCCAGAGCACTGCTCTGCCTGGCTGGGTCCATGGTCCCAGGCTGGTGCTCCAGCTGCTGCTTTCACAGCTCCAGCTCTCACCACAGGGCTGTTTCCGGCGATAAATGATGGATCCTCCCCGCCACTCGCCACACACAGACACACTGTCCTGTCCTCTCTCCCTCTGCCATCATTTTTTTGTGTTTTGAAAGCAATTACTTTCAGATGGAGCTCATTTTAAGTTTCTGTCTCTGTAAAAGTCAGCCAACTCTAGCCATTATTTCATTGCCAGATTTTCACAAATGCCCATGCAAACCTTTCTGCCAAGAACTAATAGTCAGGTGCTGACATGATATTCAGTTCTTCTGCCATTAAAGAACCTATACAGGGGGAAAGAATTTGAGCAATGTTAAAAGGTCCAAAGAAAATTTCATAGCCTGCAATTTCCTTTCATTATGTACAGTTATGTCGAATTGTTGAGCTGATGTAATATATGAAATGAGGAGCTTTCAGGAAATTATCTCCAAATGTCACCAAAAAAAGTCTGAGAAAATAACTTAAGCTTTCCCCAAAACCTATTTTAAATCGTTTTACTTCCAGTTGATTATAACCACTACACTGTAGGCTGACACTCAAGTGGGCTTCAAACAAGCCTTTGTATGTATACCCACCAATTTCTTGGTGTCTTCCTCACTCAGGACTGGGTTATTAGTGCTCAGCGAAGGGGAAAAAAAAACCAACAAAACTAAAACTAGGAGGGTGAGAAAACAGCAAGAGCCAGAACACTCGTGTGCACTTGCACATACGTCGTATGTAGGAGGACAACCAGGCCAAAGCTGGTGTTGAGCTGATGTCTTGTTTCTTCAGCAGCAAGATGACACCTGAATCTGTTTTCAGCTGGACCTACCCAAAACAACAGTTCTGCGAGCACAGCAGGACCTACCCAAAATAACAACAGCTCTGCGAGCACAGGAAGCAGGGGACTGTTGGTTTAGTATGACTTGGCACTCCCCTGCCAGTCCATGAGGCACTGTGCCACAAACCGGCATCTTCTGTGGTCACTTGGTGCTGGGAAACATCCAGGAACTGAATAACCTGAGAACGTAAATCAAGCTAGAGCTTGTGGAGAGGCTGCAGAGGGGAGGGGGAGACACTCCACGGCACAC